TCAGGAAAGAAAATTTCATAAAAACCTCACTATTAATAAATATTAGATTTTTACCTTAAATTATAAATTAAAAGTTTATTTATAAATTTTTTATTTTATATAAAAATAATTAAATAAATATTATTTTTAATATTATTATCACATTAAATATTTTTATTAAATAATTAATAAAATTAAAAATAAAATTTATTTTTATATAAATTAATAATAAAAATATATAATAAATAAATTCTTAACTTATATTTTAAAATACAACTAAAAAAATTCATAAATATATTAAATACAAAAGATTATCACGAAAAAATAAATACTTATAAAAAGCAATTTGTGAAAAGCTGAAGGCGGTCGAAGATTCCGTTAAAATCCGTCAAACGATGTGGGGTAAAAACCGTCAAGCAGAGCACGTATAAACGCCAAATGGGAAACGGAGCTAACGGTTCAAACGAGAAGTGATGAGGGCCGTCTGATTTCTGATGAACGGTCAGAAAGGCTCACTGTTGCACGGTTGAAGCGCAATAGGAGAGAGGAAGACGATGTATATAAGTTGGTTTACAGAGAGAGCATTTCGTTTTATCAGAAAGAGCTCTCTGCAAATTTTAATTTTCTTCCACTTTCTTCTTCTTTCTCGGAAGCCAAACAGAGGAAATTGCCGAGGATTGGTTAACAGAAGATAAATCGGATAGGTGAAATTGAGGATCCGGAGCTGCGCGAGAGAGAGAGGAATCCGGGGAGTTCTCAGGTGAGCAATTGATAAGAGAAATTGATTATGTATCGATTTTCTAAGATGGTGTTTTCAATATCAGACTTTTAATTTGGTTTGAACTCTGTTTTTCAGATACATTTGAAGACCGACGGAGTAATTGATCTTAGCCGGTCCCGATAATTGATTTTGTTCCGTTGAAAATTCACGAAAGCTGAAGTTCTAGAGGTTTGTAATTTGAAATATGGTTGGGTTTGCTTTGCAATATACTTGATTTGGGATCTGAAATGGTTGTGCTCTTCAGACTCTGTTTTTGTTTGACAGATACATTTTCCGGAGATTGGAGCTGTTCGGAGAAGGAATTTGAACGGACCTCTTCTCTTCCGACGAGTGGGAGATCGATTTCCGGCATATGAGAAGATAGGAATCTGAAATAAGAGCGGGAAGATAGGCATGAATGTCATCATTTTGTTGAAAAACTGATTTCCTTTGCACAAACCCCAGGACTAAAAGTAGCGAGCTCGCGAGCAATTCAACCGTGTGGTGCTTGGAACGGTGAGAACCAAGTAATTCAGGTTTGAAGTCATTATCTAATTACAAGATCAGAAGCGAGAGCCACGATTCTGAAATCCAGCATAGATTCTTGATTTTCCAATTTCACTTCCGTCTGATTTCTTTGTCCTTTTTTATTCATTTGTAACATGCAGTAGTCTGGCGATCGAGTTTCTCCATTTCTGGCTTTCGATAGAGAATCGCAGATTTCTTCCACAGAATTGAAGTTTTCAGGTAATGTTGATTTTGTTTCTCCGGCGACCTTACTTCTCTCTCATGGCGTACATTGAGGTCTCTGTCATCTGATTTTAATTCCTCTACCGGATTCTTCGTTGTTTCTTAAGAGTCTTAGTTTTAGCTTTCTTCTTCCTCCTATATATATATATATATATATTTCCCTTAAATCAGTTTATAAACTACTTGGCCTTTACCGGAACCGGTGAGATTTTTCCAGTTGATTTTTCTCTCTGCAACAGAAATTCTTCTTTGCTGAAAGCCCTTTATGCTCTGAGATTTTTTCAATTCCCGGGCATTTTCTTCTCACGATTTTCCTTTTGATTTCCAACAGAATCGGTCATTCTTTCTGCTCATTTTCATTTTCTGAATAAATCTACAATTTTCTGTTCTTGTCCGTTCATTTTTCATTTCCATTTCCGACCACAATACACTGGGTTAAATCCTTGCACCCATCTCTTACTTGCTCCCCATAAAGTTCTTTGAAACGTGAGCGTCTTATTACAGACCCAATTTTCTGGATCATGAGAAAAATCTCATCATCTGAATTTTCCCTGTTGGGACATGCACTTCCCATTTTGCTTGTAGATCGAGGTCGTGGACCATTTCAACGCAATTATTTCTTCTGATTTTTCTTCTTTTCAAGTTTTGACGAAAACTCGTCGGTATGTTTAGTCGAGATAATTTTGCTTGAATTCTGTGGAAGCTAGAAAGGAAAACCATGTCCATGTTCACCAAACCTTATCCCCTCCTTTAACATCTTTCTGGCGCTCCACTTTAACTCTGATTTTTGTTTTTGTTTTTGTTTATATTTTGTGGAATTAAAATTAAATTGCAGTTAATTGACGCTAGATTTTTTTTAATTTAATTTTTTGGTGTGTGATGGGACAGGTTTAAGGAAAAAGGATGATTGAAAAAGACTCTTTGAGGAGCATTACTAATAATAATAACACCAGTAGCAGGGAGAGAAACGGGGGTGATGGCGGATTGTTAAGATCGAGCTCAGATCCGGCTAAACAGACGTCGTCTTGCGATTTCGGATTGCACTGGGGAAACCGGAAGCGCCTGAGGTGCATGAAGATCCAGGTCAAAGACGACGGGTCCGGTTCAGCCCACCGGACCACAGTTCGCGTAGATCGTCGGGTTGTGAGGGCCGACAAGGAATCGTCAAACCAGCCAACCACTACCGCAACGACTACTAACAACAATACTAATCACAGTAACGGGTACTTTAATCTCCGTCAACGACCCACTTCGCCTCAGCCACCGCCTCCTCAGCGTATTCTCAGGTACCGTTTTCCAAGCTATTTTCCAAGAGTTCAAACTCCTATTTCACGCTTCCATGATATGGGCAATGAGTTTGGTAGCACATCATGGTTTCATGTCTTATATTGCATTGAATTTGACATCAATTTGATCTCCTCTAGCAATTACGTAAGGGAATGGTTAAATTTTGCTAACATAATAGGTGAGGACAACATGATTGAGTGGTTTGATTGATATTTGTGTTTCTTCTGGTAGTGGAGAAGGCTATGCTATTCCACGAATTCATAACCTGCAGAGTTGGTGCCATTGACTCCTAAACCTACACAACTTGGATTGGGGTTTCCCACTCGGACCTCGACTAGTTGGTGATGGCATTATATGGGTCTCATATATATGACATATTTCAGCCTCGAATTATGGCAAATTTGAGGTTTGTTGGATCTACACCATGTTACCAAATTTAGTTGTGTCCGGGCTGAACATTTTATGAGGCTTATATTTGCGCACTCTCCAATTGGTCAGGTGGGTCGGAAGTGTATGGTTCAGGAGGGCTCATTGCGGTAAGTGACTGAGCACATCAAGGCGCCTTCTATGTAGACTTAACCTCCTAATTCTTTTGGTGAAACCCATGTTAGTGGACTAGGTTATTCATGCCATTTCAATGATTCCTTTTTAAAAGAATATCATAGGGATTTGTCTTTGAGTTCTCTTTTTCGCGCATGATTTGCGTGATTGATCAAATTAGTTTTTGATTTGAACAAGATCATCTTTTAATTCATGAATAATTCAATTTTCACGTTTTTAATTCCCTTACTTTCGGTGAAAATTATCACATGCCCAGCATAGATTGAATAGAAAATTGCTGCATCTATAGCTAGTAAGGTTGATTATGAGATAATTTAGGTAATTTTTAATTGACTATTCATTCAATAGACGGTGAGCTTTATAATTTTTTCTTTTTCACATATGGTTGAAATTCGTTTCTGTTTTTCCAAATTTCTCAATTATTGCTTCTTCTAATTTATTATAGCAGGTAGATAATTATTTATGACCCAGATTCGTGCCATCAAAGTTGCCAAATTAAGAATAGACACGTCCAACTAGAACCACCCCCATGACTCAGTCTATACAATTTCACAACTCCGTTTTGCTGCACCTCATCACACCTGATCCCAGACTTGATATTCTGATCCATAATGTCCTGCACATCCGTCCTTAACACAGTGGCCACATTGGGAAGCAGGGAACGGACACTGTCATAACCACGTGTCCACACGAAACCCCTCGTTTCAATTCATCACTTCCCTCGTTAACCTTCCGATTCACAGCCCTTTTCAGAATCCGTCCAGTCCACCTTTTTCTCACCCTTAACCCATCTCAAAGCCAACCCTCCAATCCAACGGCCATAATCCGTCCCACCTCCACCCCTGCACGTTAGATTCAGATTTTTCTTGGCCGTTCACGGTAGATCTATAGATAGAATCAAAATCAAACCATCCGCCCCCAAAATGTCTTGACTTTCCATCCAAAAGAAATAACAAAAAATAAAAATAAAAATAATTAGTTCCTTATTTAAAAGCCAACCCCCGAAAGCCTGAGAAGCCAAAATTCTCCCCCTATTTTGTACGCTATATTACCTCTGCTGTGAGAAATTCTAGACTCTCCTATCTACTTGACCTAGATCAACCCAAGGACACTTTTGTAATTATACAATGATCCACTTTTATTATTATTATTATTTATTTATTTTTTGGACTTTTGAAATAGACTAGACTTGATTCTTTTTCCTTTTATTTCGATTCTTTTACCATAGCTTTTCCTTGATATGTATGTTTGTTGGTCTAATTATGTGGATGTGAATTGTGTTATTAATAATCTTCAGGAACTCTGAGAATTCGGGTGCCATGAGAGGGCAAAGCAACGGTGGAGTGAGGGGATTTGCTTCTCCGGACAGGGGTGCGCACGATAAGAGAGGCAACCACAACCACCATAGCAATAATGATAACAATAACAAATCAGGAGGGTCGTCTGAGACAGCTCACGATAGCAAAAAAGGAGGGTCGTCATCAGGGAGCGGCGAGGCTGCAGCGGCTGCGGCCGCGGCCGCAGCAGCACCACCACCAGTGTGGCCACCAAAATTCGTGATTGCTCTTACCAATAAAGAGAAAGAAGAAGATTTCATGGCGATTAAAGGGTCTAAGCTGCCACAGAGACCCAAGAAACGGGCAAAGTTTATTCAACGCACCCTCAATGTAAGCCTCAGATCCCTCCTGATTTCCCGATCTATATTCCTTTAATTATTTGAATTCATTGAATTAAAATTTAGTCGTTATATTTTGAAAAGGAAATTTAGAAACTAAAATGTTTATCAGCTTCGACTTAAAATAATAATAATAAATAAATAAATATTTAAATTTCAGTTTAGAGGGCAATTTTTAATCTTTTCGTACTATTATAATCTTTTTTTATTTAATTTTTTTTATAAATTTAAGTAATAAATACTAATTTAATTTAGAAAATACCTTTAGGTACGAGCATAAGGTTGTGATTTACGTTAGAATATGCTATCTTTGCAATTCTTTTTTTCCTGCAAGTAAAATCAAAGAGGATGTTTAAATGACGAAAGTGGTGAAATTGTAGAAGTCCAGGTGTCAGTTAAAGCGTGGAAGTGTACCTAAGTTTGTTAGCGGCTCATTGAAAACCCTGTCTCAGTCCAAAAACAAAAGTAAAATGGAGGAAATGTAATCCACAAGATTAGGGAACTACCTGTGTGACTTTATTAGAGGATTTATTAGTGGAGTTTTTTAGAGTTTTTTTTTTTATATTGTTTATAAGTGATAAGTTTAAAATTTTTTTTAAAAGAAAATTTAACAGTTGTTTTTAAAAATATAAAAAAAGAGTAAGAAGCGAGTGAAGAAAAAATTTATAAGAAGTAGAAGTTTGAAGTTTTTTAAAATTTATTATTTAAGGTCTTTTTAAAGTTAAAAAAATAAAAAATATAAATTTTTAAGAAAAAAATTTTAACTTATAAAATATGAATAATATTAAAAAACTGACACTCTTATAAGTTTTATCAAACATACTCTTAGGAATTTACTATCAAAGAAATTAAAACAAAAAAGAAAGAAAATTTGAAAGAAAGGCATGTTAAGGTATTATTGAATAATATAAAAATATTCTATATGAAGTCTTTATATAAAGTTTGGATAACTTATTAACTAAGAAATACTAAATCTATCGTAGTAATAATAATAATATCAAATTTAAGATTTGATCTTCATAATTAGTTCTTTAAATCCCTTAATATCTTTATCATTTACTAAAATAAAAAATTAAAATGTTTTTTCAATTAAAATATTATGAGTAAATAATATAAAAGTTATGTTACCCTTAGGTAATTACAATCAGGTTCTTTAAAAAAATATTTATTAAAGATGCTTAAATAATTTCACAAACAATTTTAATATATAAAATGTTGGATGTTCTAATTTTCACCTTTTATTTTTATTAAAACAGTCGGTAATTATTTTATTTGGAAAATAATCACAGAGAGAATCAGATAGATTTTTTGGTATCTTTTGCATTTTTGCTTTTTCTTACATGGAAATTATAGAATCTCAAAAGGTTACTCAATTAGTTAAAAGACATAATATTTCAAGATAAAAATTTTAAATTTAAATTTTGTGTTAAATAAGAGATATTTAAAAAAATAATATTTTTTTTATATAACCTATTATTAAAAGTAATATATATATATATATATATGAAAACTACAGAATAGGTCGATGAGAATTAACGGGAAGAAAAATATTGTTGTGCTAATTAATGTAAGACGATGAAATGGTAGCAGAATATTGAAAGGGACAAATGGGTGGGGTAAAGGTGCAGGTGTCGATTGCAGACTGGATTGTTGAGTTTTTCTTTTTGGGGTGGCAGTTGTGTGGTTTGGATGAGATATTATAATAGACACAGTGTTAGCCTTATCATCGACCGATCCTTGATAAAAGAGTATCGGAAAATGATTGGTAGATTATCGATTCAATATTTTTTTTTTTGATACATTTTTTATTTAGTTATTAAAAAAATAATATAAATATAATTAATTCAATCATATTTTATATTTTATATGTATAATTATATCATTAAATTTATTTATTTTTAATTTTAAATTAAAAAATAATAATTTTTTAATAAATATGTTATGCAGTGTATTGAATCAGAGTACATAGTAAACATGATCAAAAAGTAACCGAGAAAAGGTTACAGTGGGTTGGTCGGTCCCTCGACCCATTATTAAAATGGGGCATATTATTATTTTGTGGTGCGGTTGTGGGCATATGGTAGGATGATTGTTTTCCAGCTTGGACCACAGTCTCCCACTACAATTTAAAAAACATAAAAAGTGATTGTGATTGTTTTCTTTGATTATATTTTGGTTGAGGGCAATTTTAATTACTTTCAGACAGCATCTTTAAGGAAAGCCTATTGTCTTTTAAATGTGCAAGTTGATATTTTGTGTGAATTCAAATCAAATTTGAATTTTTTAAGTTTTTGTTGGCATTTTTGTTTGGAAATTTTTTGTGCAGTTGGTAAGTCCGGGTGCATGGCTTTGCGATCTGACACTAGAGCGGTATGAGGTCAGGGAAAAGAAGATCTCAAAGAAGGTACATGAGTTTCAATGTTGAATGCCTTTCTCTAATTTTTTCTGCCTTTTTGCAGGTCGATGTTAGATCTCTTTCTTAATTGATTGTTTCATTTTTATTGCTGCAGAGGCCGAGAGGTTTGAAGGCAATGGGTAATATGGAGTCAGATTCTGAGTAAAAAGAATGCTCCTGTACGTAAGAGGATGTGCGATGTGTTACAAATGATCAATTTAATTGGTCAGTGAGAACAGTGAGAGGGATTAAATTCAGCCATATATCTATTTCCCTTTTAACTGGCTTATGTTATTTGGGTAATTTTGTTTTCATTACCTACCTATCAGCGAGTGAAAACCAGAAGAGAAGACTTCCAAGAATGTGGCCTAATGTGCAACCTTTCCTCATAAAACACATGCTTTCATGTCTTCAATCCCAATCAGACCTCTTAATAAAAAGGATAACATAAATGGGAATGTAGGGTTAAGAAGTTGGCAAAATGATAAATCCACTCTAGTTACGAGTCCAGGGGAAAATGGTTATTAAGCCTGTCTCACGCCATGCCATGCCATGCCATGCCATATCCCATAAGTTTACTTGCCCTGGATGCAAGCCCCTTTTTTCATGCATATACGGGCTGGACATTTTGCTGCTTGGGTTGAGGTTCAGTTTCAGCTTGTGGATTTTTAAGCTTTTGATTTTGTTTTTTGTTCTTTGTACGGGAAATGCTAGTGATATTTTCTCTATCCCTCTTTCATACTCTTTATGATTGATTCATGTGACTCATGATTTTTATTTTTATTTTTTGTAATTGGTGATAAGAAATTAAAGTCAAGGTGAACATATTTAAAATTGGAAGTTACCAATTATAACCAACTATTGCAAGGATATGTCCAAAAAGTCCTTATCACACCATTCCTTTCTCTCTCTTTTTTTTACTAATATTAACCTTTCAGTATTCGATAGTCACATTGAATCTCGATTAATTTGGAATAAAGTCACGTCGGACCAATTAAGGGAGAAGCTCTCTCAACGCCTGTTTTTCCATTCATAAGACTTGATTTCAAAATCTTACTTAAAGAGAACCGAACTCCTTTCACTCAGACAAACAAATCCTTGGTGTGCCATTCCTTACTTGTTCAATCATTTCCAACAGGGCAGTCCAAACTCCACAACTCGAACTTATGACAATCGCATGAGATCATCCATTCTACCAATTGGACAGCCCTAAATAGACCTCAATAAGTGTGCATCACACTCGAGTTAGTTTGGGTAATCACGATTATCCCTTTTATATTTAGGGGGTGGGTGGGAGGAATTCAAACCAAGCACTCTAATCTGTAGACCTACTGTACTTTAATTAATAATTTGCTTCAAATTCAAGTGTTAAAGCCCTTCTTTTTATCCCATTTGTTTTATGGATTAGTTCATCTTTTAAAATTGTGATGGAAAAGTTTTTGGTAACGCTAGCTAACCAGTGTTTGGTTTGTGCTATTTTTTGGGAAATAATAAGAAAATGCTTCTGCCTGCTGACGGTTGGTCATTTTCATTTTCATTTCTTAGGAAATAAAATGGCGTTTAGTAGTCTGGTAAAGGATACCAATAAGAGTTGAGTTGAGTTGAACAAATCTTGGATTTATGGTCTATGAATCAAGCCTACTTGAGTTATATTCAGAGTCTTAACCCTTTACAAGGAAAGGATTCGTGTGTAGGAGTACGAATCTTTGTACTTTTGATGTTAAATATAAAAGGATAATAATACACATATAACTTATTTATATAACTTTTTGCATAATTTTTATATATTATTAAATATATATAATGTCATAAAATTTTTAAAAATAAAAAATTTGATTATTAAAAATATATAAAATGTTACCAAAATTATTTTTAAAAAATATCCTAATAATTTTTCAATATAAAAAATGATAAATTCCATTTATAAGAAGCGACAAGAGTACACTCTTGTCAATTGTGCAAAGTCTTTGTGCTGTTGGGAAATACCCAAGCGGTAACAACCGATTTACCATTTGCAAAATAATTTTTAGTTGGTTATGCATTTATAGAAGATTATTGACACTTACCTACTATTTTAAATATGAGAAACTTGTTGGGAAAAAATTGGCGCACGGAATAAATAATTCCTGTGAATAAAACACGTGAACAATAACAAAGAACGGTGAAACAGGCGGCTTAACCAATCAATATAACGGTTAGTGAAAATGGTGGCTTAGCCGACCAAACAAAATAAAATGGGCGGTTCAACCTGCCACTTAAGAAATATAAATAAAATGGGCGGTTCAACCAGCCATTTAAGCGGAAAAATAAACAAGCAAAATAACACCAAATTTTACGTGGAAAAACCCCTAAAAAACTATTGACGGAAAAAATCACGGGACAAACTCCGAAGAGTATTCCACTATATGATAAAATTGTATAGAGTATACACTCAAGTATTTTTCTCTCTCTTGATGTTTCCCACTCCCCCAAGATATGATCACAATCCTGATAAACTCACAATTTTATCACTCAATGTA